TTCTTTAATAGCAGGGACCATCCTCCTCATTTCCCAAGGGAGAGTAGTGAAAACCCATGGCATCCAGCAAGGTTCTTTCAGGAAAGCAACCCCAGTAATCCCTGAGCCTGGTGACTGTCACTGTCAGCAGCCTGCAAGAAGCAGGCACAGAACTGACGTGTCCACGGGTTGGATTTAGCTGGGGCAGGGGAGCTGGGGAGTGTCCATGCTGGTGTCTCATCTGCTTGGGTATGAGATGAGATTTTCATTAGGAGTAGAGGCAGGACAGCAGAACCTGCCATGTAATTCATGGGATTCCCATCAAGGCAGGACTGGCTGATCAGGGAATACTGCCAGAAACACAAAACATGTTGCCCAAAGTCCAGGAGCAAATTCCCAAGACCACCCTTCCCTGGGCTGGGCTGAGAAAACACCAGACAATGTTCTTGCTCTCTCAGCTGAGTTCCTTATCCCCTGTGATCTTTTCCCTGCCTGCCATAACCCACCTGGAGCACCAAGGAACAGGATGTTCCACCTTTGTCAGGGGGACAGGAGGGCTCTGCCCAGGTGTGTGTGCTCATCACAGTCCCTACCCTTAGGTAGGATTGATCCTGAAGGGACACAGTGCCACTGCTTGGCCACATTTCAAGCCTTTGGTAACTGAGGATTATTTCAGTGACATCGCTGCTGTGTGTGCTGGATAGCTGCTGGATTCTGAGGATGGGCTGGGCTTGATTTTCCCCCTTCCCCTAAAATATTGCAGCAGATGTGGCTGGAAAAACACTGTGGTGCCATGACCTCTGGGTGCTTGGCCAGCACCAGCTGCCCTGGGCAGCCAAACCAACCTGGATCACAGCTGCAGTGCCCACAGTTTTTTCCTCCAGTAGGAGATACTGGCAGAGTTCACTGTGCTGATGTAGAGGCACTCCTGACACTCCCTAAACCCAGTGCTAGCCCTCTGAATCCTTCCTTTATGGTCACTAAATATGAAATGGTTTTGATGCTAAATGTACATGGATTTGTGTGTTCATTGGTGGAAGAAAGGAGGAAGGGAAGGTGGAAGCTAAGATCACAGACAGGTGGCCTTCCAGTCATGAGTGAGGAAGGAGTGCTCCAGTGGAGACATCTTTACATAAGCATCCAGATTTGGATGAGATGGATCCTGCTTGTGACAACCTTGATTAAAAACTCAGCATTTGCCAGGACACAGTGTTGGAGCTGCCCCTTGAGTGCCTCAGTACACAGAGTCCAAAATAACTGCAGTGACTCAGCTGTGTGTTGACAAGTGGGGATCTGCTTCCTCAGTCAAATCCAAGGCAAGCCATGGAGCTGGGGCTGGGGTATCCCGTGCACACAGGGCCTTTCCTTCACGGAGGAGACGTGCCAGAGGTCAGGACCGCCGGGATGGAGGAGCTGCTGGGAAGGTGGCACTGTCTCCAGGCTTGCTGTCCTGAAATCCCATCCCTGCTCCCTGCAGACCTGCCCCAGACCAGGACCCAGCTGTGGCTGCTGCTGCAGCGCAGCTTGTCGAGCGCTGAGGACGTGAGCTCAGCACTGGCAGTGTGAGCACCTCAGGTGTGCGCAGGGAGAGCTGGATGCTGCCTGCAAAGAGACTGCCACAGTGTCACCCTGGAGGCAAGAAAAGCCCAGCAGATGTGCACCCATCTCATGGCCATTAACCTCAGCAGATGTGAACGTGCTTCTGTGTGAGCTCTGCCGCAGGTATCCAGCCTTGACCACAGCCTGCAGCCCCAGCTGCGCTTCTTCAGCCAGGAAGGCAGCCAGTGGAGCCTTTGGCATGGGCAGCACAGGCCTGGGAGAAGTTCCTGTGGTGGCAGAGAGCCTGGGGAGGGGTCCCTGAGCACACACTGCACGTAGGCTGCTGCCACCAGGCTCTTCCCGTGGGACAACTTGGACTAAAGTCCTTTTTCCATGCGGTGTCTCTGGCGTCAACAGTGCTGCTCCCACATGCTGTGGTAGTGAAGGAAGGTGCAGTGACTGTGGAGATATTCACTATCAGCTAGTCTGTGTAGAGCTCCTGCACTTCCTAGCCTCCCTTCAATGAGCTCCTCTCCCTGGAATTGGGAATTGCCATTTCTTCTGCGTTTTGCTTTTAGCAGCATAATAAAGTTGGGCTTCACCTCCCTGAGCCCGATGAACTGAGTGACTCAGAAACCTGCAATCTGCTTCAAAACAAAGCATTTAAGATAAAAGATGTAAGTAGTAATGGAGCTACTCAGCTCGGGAGCAGAAATGCTGGAGGGTTACTCATGTGCTCTCTTCTAACCTTCATTTTAACCCTTGCAAACCCTGGGCAGGGCAGGCTGCTGTGTCATTTCAGAGATGCCTCCAGCCCAGCGTGCAATCCCTGGAGCTGGGCAGCAGAAGTGCTCTGATGCCAACCCCGATGATGTGGAGGAGGAAGAGCTGAGCTCTCTCTCCACGGCCCCCAAAGTGCTCTTCTTTGTGCTGGTTAAACAGATGCCAGCTTCTGAGGGGATTATGTGTCACCCAGCCTGTTGGCTGTGACAACCAATTATCATCTCCTGCAGCAGTTTGGCCTCGAGATTTGCGGTTCAGAGGGCACACCCACGAGCACTGCCATCCAGTGCCACGTGTAGCGATTTGTCCCCACTTGGGGACACCAAAGAGGTGGCACCCCCGGGGCACCCTGTGCTCCCCTGGCTCAGGCTCACACCAGCAAACCAGCAGGTCCTTCCGAGCACCAGTGAAACCTCAGAGGCACCTCCAGCAGGAGCCAAGGAGAAGAAGCAGCAGCCAAAATCAGCTCACCATCCAAACAGCAGCCTGCCTGAGCTCCCCGTTCCTGCAGCTGGGTGTCAGCATGGCAGCCAGGCCAGGCTCCTGCAGCTGAGCCTCACAGGGCACACACCAGCAGGGTCCAGTTCAGCTGCAGCCAAATCCAGGGGAAAGAATATCTGCTGCAGCTTGAGGTGGGAGACATTCCAGGGGAGAGCAGCCAGAGGAGCAAAACCAGTTACGGAATGCAGCCTCAAAACCAACACTGAAAATATTGTATAACTTCATATAAATTGATGGCTGACCCTCGTCAAGACTCCCAGGAACAGATGAAAAGCAGATCCAGGCAACTGAAAGAATTTAAGTCCTTGAGAAACACGCAGAGAGTGGTGGAAAAGATGGGAGATGAGGGAAGAGATGAAGAGGGAAGTTAAAAGAAAAGGCAGAGGGTGTGTTGACAGACAAGTATCCACTTTTTAGCATCACCTTGCAGTGTTTGGATGGTGAGGACAGAGGAGAGCCTGTATCTCCAAGCCCCAGCACTGCAGGGCTGCCTCGGTCCGCGGGGCCATGTGAAGAGATGCAGCTGCCTCTTAAATAACAGCAGTGACACCAGTTGTGAATAGATGAGTGATCGTGGCTTCAGCCGTCACAGCAGAGGATCTGATTTCAAATGAAGCCCCATTCATCCACCCAGGGCCCATCATAAGGTTATTAAGGGAGCATCTGTCACAAAACCACAATGCCTTTAAATGCTTGGAAAAGGGCACAGCAAAAATCAGCCTGCTCAGCTTATATACTTTTTTCTCTGGGTGATGTGATTCTTGGAATTCCGTAGCAAAAATAAATTATAAATAAGATGGGTAAGGAAAATACATGATGTGAGCAGGGGGAGGTTTGGTTTTGACCTTAGCATAGAGTTTGGCTGTGTGTTTGTTGTTCCAGCCTAGTGGGGTAGGCGGGAAAGACAGGGCCAGGGAGTTTTCTTGGGTAGCAGAGTGCACAGCCCCAGCACAGCAGGTTCTGCTCTGGAGCCCTGGCTCAGAGCACTCCCTCCAGGACGCAAATGGAAAGCCATTCCCTGGTTTTGGGTGCAGAAGGGAAAGCATCTCCAGCAGCAGGACAGGGCCAAGTTCAGGCCAAGCAGGATATGCTGTGGCAAGACACAGGAGGCTGGGGAGGTGATTTCATTTTTCATCACGACTAAATCCACACTCTGTGTTTTAAACAAATCACATTTAAGAGAAATTGGAGTGTCTGTGTGCAGCCTTAGCAGTGGTGAGAGAGATGTCACTGTGTGATGCAGCTCCCTGTTTATAATTCATATTAAAGTGTAATCCAAATTCCTCTTTTCTTTATAAATTGTTTTGGAAAATTGTCTTGAATGTGGATGGGAAAATGAATTGTGGTCATATGTGTGAATCTGTTGGGTTCCTCTACAGAAATATTTCATGCCCAAAACCAGGACTTCCTACCCCAAGTTTCAGCCTAGGGGGGCATTACCTGTGTTCATAGATTTTAAGCCTAGAGCAGAATAAAGTTTCATGTTTTAAAACTGTCCAAGTGCTCTAGAAAGCTAAATCTCCCCTGTACCCCCCTACAAAGCCCAGGTTGTACTCCCAGATTATCGCCATCTGAGTGGGGCCCTGGTTTCTGTCCAAGTGCTGCATCTCCCGCAGCCCCAGCCCTGGGCTGGCTTTCAGACTGAGGCAGTGACTCACTTGGGCAGCTTCATCTCCCTCCATCTGAGCTGACTGAAAGCAAGGCATCCCACTGGGCATGGCATCTCCCTCCCTTCCCAGCACAGACAGAGCCATCTCCCCAGGGGGACTCGACCTGTGTGTTCTGGGAGCAAGACCTGTGTGCTCCAGCCTCTTCTCTGAATAAACCCTGGCAGAAAAGCGTGTGTGTGTACAGAGTCCAGCACAATGGACCAACTGGGACCTTTGTCCCCCAGGGAATAAAAATAGCAAGTAATATTAAAACTGTGTATTTTCACAGATTGCAATCAGGACTCACAACACAACCCACTTAATTTCCTGCTTTCAGTTCACTATCAGATTTTATGCTTAGGTTAGTGGGGTTTGTTTTTCCCCAGAATAGGATTTTTTTTTTCCCCTGTAACTACAATATATTCAGCCATGAAAAATGAGATTGAAAAAGATTAATAGGAAGCCGAAGGATTCATCTGAGATATTGACAAAGATTACTGTGTGCCTTATTCTTATCTGTTTTCTTTTCCTTTTCCCTTTTTCTCTCAGCTACCTAGACAGCTTAGATCGAATCGGAGCTGCAGACTACCAGCCCACGGAGCAGGACATCCTCCGGACCAGGGTCAAGACAACTGGCATCGTAGAAACCCATTTCACATTCAAAAACCTCCACTTCAGGTTAGTCTAAAACTGCACAGTGAGTTTTCAGAACTATTTATCGCAGGGTTTCACCGCAGTACCTAAAGGAGAAGTTGTTGAGTTGCTGGTCAGTGCATGGACAGCTCTGACTGCAGAGGACATGGAGTTTTGGAGGGTCAACAATATGAAATGTTTGGTCTTGAAAGTCACTGCCTGTAAGGCAGAAGCTCATGGCAGCTTCTTCTAAGCCAAGCAACACCTCTTTGTTGAAAAGTGTCATGTGAGATTGACCCCCAAGTCCAATCAAGCTTCATAAATGTGAAACTGTTTGGCCAGATCTTTCCCTGAGTTGGCTCCGTCCCGTGCAGTTACTGCTGTGCATTGACCCGCAAGATCCCAGCCAGCAGAGAGAAGGGGGCATGAGGACAGAGGGCCATGCACAGAGAGTGTTTAGAGCATATAAACTCCAGAGCATAAGGTCTGCACCCCCACAGACCCTTTGGGACCCAGCTGCTGCTGAGGCTATCCCAAAAATCCCCACATCCCGATCTGTCACTGCTCCTCCCGGTCCTCCTCGCACCCATTGCTTTGCATTCGGAGCCTTCCAGGGCCCCCGTGGCCGGAAAATGCCAAGAAAGCCAAAGTTTCCTGGTGCCTGAGAGCGAGTGGGTGCTGATGGCCCTCTCCTGTGCCGCAGGCTCTTCGACGTGGGGGGCCAGCGGTCAGAGCGCAAGAAGTGGATCCACTGCTTCGAGGATGTCACAGCCATCATTTTCTGCGTTGCGCTGAGCGGCTACGACCAGGTGCTCCACGAAGATGAAACCACGGTGAGTCTGAGCGGGTCCTGGAGGCCCCAGCACCTGTGTGTGGGATACTGCACAGCCAGCAACTCCTTGGAGACCGCCGAGCGCTCCCTGGGGTGCCACAGCTCTGGCTTTTGTCCGTCACTCCCCCTTGACTCTGAAGTCCTGGGGAGATTTGTCCTCCTCCATGCTCTCTGAAATGAAGTCTGCGTGCCCAGGTAATGCCTTCTTGCCCCGGTGAAGTCCCAGTGTTTTATTTCTGCTCTGTAGCCGACCTGTGTGTTTTCAAAATGCCTTACAAGAACCTGTGTGAGCACGAGGAGGTGCAGCACAGTGGGTGTTGAGGCAGATGTTAGGGAAGTGGTCAGGCCGTGATGCAGAGGGGCAGGGTGGCCATGCACACCCAGGGCTTGGCCTGGGAGTAGAACCCATTTCTTCAGGCTGCAGAGATTCATTTTCCTTAGCGAGAATGGAACTGTTTGATTCCTCAGGTAATTTGCTCTAGGAGGGATTTTTATGACTTCCCACTGTGACATTAGACTCAAAATACCATCTGGAAATAAAGCTGGCGAGGACCTGTGTGCTCCCTGGTATTAGAGTGCAATTAATAGGAGTGAATTGAGTACACAGAGAGGATGCAGTGGGACTCATTCCTGTACTGTGGCCGTTCATTCAGTGTAAGGGGGATGCGTGGTTTTAATGACAACTGCTGTGGGCACCCAGCTACATTTGTCTAATGAGAAGGAACTGGAGGCCATATGAGACTGAGGAAGGATTTCACTGGTGCCCAGTCTGTGGCAGTACGAGGGGTCGCTCCTGCCAGCTCTGAGGGGTTCTGTTCTGCTGGTAAAGATGTCAGGCTTACGGAAAGCTGTGGATGAGGAAGGAACCCCGCGAAAGATTGCTGTTGGGTAACGGTTGTCTTGTCCCCAAAAGACTACAGGTACTGTGGTTTCTAGCCTCTGAACCAGGTTTATGAGCTCTAGCAAACTCTTTGGTGAAGTCACCTGGTTGTTTGGATGGTGCTGAAGTCACCTGGTTGTTTGGATGGTGCTGATGCTGGAATTCAGGGTGATATTAACATCATCAGTCACAGGTTCCAAGGGAATAGCATGAAGCTGTGTCAAGGAGAGCTTTAGGCTGGAAATTAGGAAAAGGTTCTTCATTGAGAGTGTGATTGGGCAGGGGAACAGGCGCCCAGGGAAATGATCACAGCACCAAGCCTGCCAGAGTGCAGGAAGTGTTGGGACAGCACTCTCGGGCACACGGTGTGATTCTTGGGGTTGTCTTATGCAGGGCCAAGAGTTGGAGTCAATGATCCTTGTGGGTCTCTTCCAATCCAGGATATTTTATGACTCTATGATTCTGTGATCATGACTGCCTCCCTCCAGATGGGACACCCTACATCCTCTCATGTCCACTTATTTATACCCTCCACTTGTCACCTCCCTCTGACCCTGGCCCTGTAACACTGACTGGGAATGAACCAAAATCTTCTGATATGATTTGAAAAATCCAGCCATTATCTGAATACCACAGAGCTCTGCAGCCAGGCAGTGAAAACAGCCAGGAGGTACAGAACACACAGGGAGAGGGCAGGTGCAGGTGACAGGGAGCAAAGTTGTTACCTGAGCAGAGAGCAAGGTGCTCTGTAGGTGTAACTTGGACTGTGACACCTGAAGGCAGCTTTTAATACAGGTCACCTTTGGGTGCTCATCTACACAAGCCAGAGCCTGTGATTCAAAGCCACAGAGCACAAAATGGAAGGGAAGCCTGAATGCCAATGCCATTTTATAAATGTCAGGCTTAACTCCGCTCCTCTGAACCGGAGGTTAGAGCATCTCTCCTGGGGAGAGCACTGCCAGTGACTTTCCCTCACCCAGCACCACCCTGGAGACAAGCAGGGTGCCAGCTCAGCCTCCCTCCTCGAGTGCCCTGCTGCAGAAACTGGGATTTGTGCATCTCCAACCTTCCTTTTGCAGCAGGAGAGCGGGCTGGTGCAGCTCTGGCACAGTGCTGACATTTGCTTGCTATTTCAGTCCCTTTTCACAACACATTTTGGGGGATGCTGAGCAATAGGAGGGCAGAGGCAGCTGCTGCTCATTTACACATTCGGCGCAAACGGGGAAAGGATTCGGCACCACCGCGGGCAGGACGCCCCTGCCTAACCCAGATAAACAGCCCTGGGCGAGGCCAGGGTGAATGGCAAGAAACACTGGTGGTGGAGATTGCCTGCCCTGTTACATCCCCTTCACAAATGGCAGGGGGGAAACGTGGCACCCACAGACCCCGACCCCTCCCAGCCGAACCCCCCAGGGCTCCTCCTGCTCGTGGTGGCTCTCCCAGAGCCCAGCAGTGAAGCAGCATCTCCTCACTGTCCCAGAGCCCAGCAGTGAAGCAGCATCTCCTCACTGTCCCAGAGCCCAGCAGTGAAGCAGCATCTCCTCACTGTCCCAGAGCCCAGCAGTGAAGCAGCATCTCCTCACTCAGCTGACTCGCCGCCTGCATCCGTCACATCTGCCGTCTCTAATGACGTCAGTCAGTTTTTATTGCTTCTCACTTGGAAAACACAAAGAGCAGGCAGCTGAGACGTTGAGCTGGAAGCTGCTCCTCCAGCCTCATTTTCTAGAGGTGCTCCCTGCAGTCCAGGCCCTTCCAGCTGTACCGAGCTGGAAGCCTGGGGGCTGTACAGATGTCTCCGTGAGTACGGAAAGACTTGCAAAGAGCTTTCATTGCTGGCAGGGAGCCAGGAGAGGGAAAGAACCCTACTGCATCTCAGCACCCAAAAAAAACCCCTTCCAAAGTCGGGTGCACAGGGAGAATGGCTTTTCCTCCAGTGCTCACCACCCAGTTGTCAATGATCACAGGATTTCACAGGAGCTTTTTGCACTTCTCTAAGTCAAACCACACTTCAGGTGGAGAAAACTGCAGTTCAGATGCAGTCAGCCAAGCACAGAGAAGGGAGGGGCTGGTCTGGCTGAACCTCAGCTGGGACAAGTGCAGGGTCAGCTCGATTCACAGAATAAAGCTCACAGACAACAGGTTTCCTGTGAATCCTTTCTGAAGAGCTGGTTAAGCAAGGCTGGGTGAAACACCCCCTGCCCTGTCCCTGCCCTGACAATTCAAACACAGCGCTGTGCTTGTAAAGGGTTTTTGTGGTTTACTGTGCTCTTTGTTTTAAAAGACTGAGCACCCACCCTCCTGCAGCAGCTAAAACAGGGCTGCTGTGTGTGAGGCCATCCCTGCTCCCTGAGAGCAGGCAGTCTTGTGTAAGGGATGTATTTTCTCTCCAATTCGCTGCCACAAAGAGCTGCACAGCATGAGTCAAGAAAAGCAAGTACTTCCCTATGTCCACATCAGAAAGACATAAAGAAAACTTTCTGCATCTGTGATTTTTAGGCCCATATACACATAAAGATCACATTTTGCCTTTACCAAGTCTGTGACAAGGAGCTGCTAGGATCTCTGCCATATTTGTACACACTGGGAATGTCCTGGTTTTAACTGACAGAACATCTTCAAGGATTATGTCTTTGCATAACAAGGCTATTTTGTCTCATTTCTGTATTATCTTCATGTTTCATAAATTGAGGTTACAGGAGGAAAAGGCTCAGCCCCGTAATCTGGGAGGAGAGAGGGACAGCAGTCATATCACTTAGTAAAATTGGAGAAAACAATTAAGGTAGATTTCTGTTGTTCCTTTTAAGTGGAATTCCTAATGGAATTTTGAAAAAGCAATGGCATGGAACCTGTCATGGGAACTGAGACTATGCCCTGGTTTTTCCCTTGCAAATTCAAAGGAGTCGTGGCAAGAGAGGGAGATGTTCATGCTGTACATTGCTGCCTTTGAAACTAAGATATTTAGGTCAACCATATCTAGCCAGGACATGCAAGTATTGCTGGTGTCCCCATTGCTGGGGCTGGGGTGGGCTGGGGGGCTGTGCTGGGGACCCTTGGTGTGCATTAGTGTTGGCCTGTTGGTTCCATTGCACTGCATGACCTGGTTAGCGTGCTCTCCCTGCTGTCATTGGGCAAGGAAAATGGAATTGCAGCGCTCAGAAATTGCCTTAGGAGTGACAAAGCAAGAGAAAGCGGCTTGGACATCTTAGGAAATGTAAGCAGGAGGGGGAATATGGAGTCTGTGTGCTCTGGATAACCATCAGTGTCCTTACAGCTCGTGTGACAGCCAGTGCTTAATGACCAAGGAAAACAGAGACCATGCAATCAACTGTGTGCTGCAGAAATCACCAGCTCTCCTCCCATGCTCCAGTGAAAAAAAAGATGGGTTTTATGAGTGTGTTTCTGCCTGGGCAGAGTCTTGACCGCAGCATCCTTTCTCCCTCGTGCTCAGGGGAAAGCTGCCTGCCCTTCACATCAGAGCCTGCTTGTGCAGTGACACCTGAACTCAGCTCTGAGCAATTCTCTCTCTTGTCCTGTGCAGGAAAAGTTAACTGGACTTTGAGTATGTGTGAGCAAGTGGTTACTCCTCTGCAGCGTGGCTGGGGGGGCTGCTTTGCTTGTTGGGGTGTGTATTTGCAGGCACAAGGATTTAAAATAGCAGTTTTGAAGGATAAGTGACATTTAGATGTCAGTGTTTGAGGAGCCCTTCCCTTGATGACAGACCCAACCATGAAGTGAGAAAAAGCAGCACGATGGATCCAAAAGCAGGTGAAGTGATTTATATCACTTCATCTAAAAATATGAGGGGTGTAACCTTCAGTGGCTCCCAGCAGAGCAGGCACGACTGCCCCATCACAGCAGCTCAGGTGCTCCTGAGAGGGGCCCAAGGCAAGCTCTAAGGGACTACAAGGCCTTCCACTGTGGATTTACTGGGAGGAGGGGAATTATTTGAGGGCTTTAACTTCTCACTCAGCCTTTAGCAGCAGCCTGTCCTTTTACATTTGGTACCCAGACACTGCCCCTCCATCCTCACCTCTCAGCTGGGTTTGCCACAGCTGTTCGAGGGCTGCTACAAACATCTGCTGAACTAGTAACAGTTGGAAGGGAAGGGAGAGGGAGACAGTGAGGCATTCCCAGTGTTAGCCAGCACCTGGACAGGCTTGCACCCATGCCTGGGCTCCCACAAGCCTTCCCAGGATGCGACATTGCCCACGTGGCATCCCGGGATGACAACAGAAGCATCCGTGCCTGCTCATCGGGATATTGCTCTGCACCTCTGCCACACACAGAAAGCAATTCCTGGCTTGTGAATAATGTCATCTCCTCTTTGGTGGTGGGGAAGGAAAAGGTGGATTTGAGACCAAAACATTGCCCATGTAAATAAGCATGAGTGGGCAGAACAGCTGGTTATGTTTACTCAGCTAACTGGCAGAGCTGAGGGAAAAATCAACATGTGGAGATCAGAAAGCCAGGTCAGACAGCCTTGGGAAGCTTTCAAACTGGAATCTAAAAGGAACAGAGGACATTAGTGTAACTGTGGTGTTCTGCAGGGCTGTTGGTTTGTGCTGTGTGTGTGTATGATTCTGGGGACAGCTGAACACTAAGAGCCTCTATTTCTTGGGAAAACACTCTCATTTCCTAACATGTATTAACACAAATTAATCAAACTTTATAAGAGGAGTAGAAGCATTTCTGTAGGATCCTTACATAGTCTTGCTCTTAAAGAATAGTTGGCTTCACCTAAACACAAAGCCCAGCTGAGCAGTCCTCAGTTTCTTGGAAAAACCAATGTTGCCCATGGTGCTCCCTGTGCCACAAGGAGCAGTTTCAGCCCACTGTTCCCACCAGGGCTGTGCAGGGTGGCAGGGGCTGTGCAGGGTGGTACAGGGGCCATGTAGGGTGTCACAGGGGCTGTGTAGGGTGGTACAGGGGCTGTGTAGGGTGTCACAGGGCTGTGCAGGGTGGTACAGGGGCTGTGCAGGGTGGCAGGGGCTGTGCAGGGTGTCACAGGGCTGTGTAGGGTGTCAGAGGGGCTGTACAGGGTGTCACAGGGCTGTGTAGAGTGTCAGAGGGGCTGTGCAGGGTGGCAGGGAGCAGCAGGGTTCGTACAGTGACCGCAGGCTGACTGGTGCTGTGAAGGAGCTGTAGGTTTAACCCACGAGCAGCATTCACGTGTTTCTCCATGCTTGTATTTTGAATCAGCAAGGATGATAAAAACGTCATTCAGAATGTTCTGTGAGGGACCCTGCTTTAAAAGAATGGTTAATTATATTTGCTTTCTGTTCCCCCAACCACCCTCCACTTCACTGTCTCCTCCGAAAGGCTCTGGGTAGCCAAGGACCTCCTGTACCAAACCTTTGTACCCCAGGTTTCTGCACGGTTACAATTCTGGCACCACAAGTAGCAAAGAGGAGCTCTGCTCCAGGGCTCCCACACCAGCCAGTACCAAGTGGGTTAGCAAATCCAGATGAGCAACACGATGCGAGTGAGCCCTGAAGGGGAAATGCACTGTTACACTCTGGCGCCGTCCCCCCGTGGGTACAACGCACACGGGGAAACGCTCGGTCACTCAGCACAGGGGACAGCAGATCTCGCGTGTCCTGTCTCACTCTGGGTTGGGTCGGATGTTTCCTTCATCCACGGAGCCACTGTTACCCGTATCAAACGTTCAGCAGCAGCTGAAGGATATGAAATGCAAAGGGAAGTGTTACTCGGTAAAGTGCTGGGCTCGGCTGCGCTGCCAGCGTGGGTGTGCAATGAGTGGGAGCGGGGCAAAGGCCCCCAGCTGACTCCTGTACGACTCCAAATTCCCAAATCCAGAGATGGGTGGGCAGGACATGCTGCACCCACTCCACAAAGCCCGTGCAGCCCTGTCCTCCGCGGTGTCTCGGTGGTGGTGGCCGTAAGCAGCTTCTTACGTGCACTGGCGGGGTTTGGGGAGCGCTGTCCCAAGGAGACCCCGCTGGGAAAAGCCGAGGAGCCGGTCTGGTCTGTGCTTTGCCTCTGATAACCCCCTGACTCTTGGGTGTGCTTCGTCCTCGCCGCGCCTGCTCTCTCCGCTCCCCGGCTCCCGGCTGAGAGACGGCCCCGCGACCGGCGGGCCTCGCGCCAAACATCGCCAGCCTCGGCACCGCCACAGCTTTGCCTCGGCCGACTGACCTTATCTAGCCAAACAAAGGCCAAAAAATGAGCATTTCAGAGAGACCAACCAAATTTGGCAGGTATGAAGCTTCTCTTGAACTGAGAAAAAAAAAAAAAAAAAGCAAAAAGCGAGTTGAGAGTTGAAAGCAGCAGGGAACATGACACTTGGGTGACTTTGCCGTGAGCTCTTCCCACCACCATAAAACCATGTGGCGGACTTGGCAACTCTCTAACTGGTCTGGTTTTTTTCATTCCTCTTACCCCTCTGCTTTTCTGTGTCCTTTTTTGCATGACCTGTAACCAAAACGCTGACCTCTCGCTGTGTGTGCATCTGAACTTACGGCTCTTCTGCTGGCGAGTAGCTAAATCTTCTAGAGGCATGAGCTAACAACACTGGTAGCTGCCTGACTTCTAGTCTGGTTGTTCTTAGATGCTCTCTGTTTTTCCTTTTTATACTGTTCCCTCTTCCTTCTTCACTTGTTCTGCTCTCTGCAAGACACTTTCTGTTGAGCCATCTTCCAAGAGAACTCCAAAAAAAAAAACCCTCAAAAATTAAAAGCCCAACAACAGACGACACTAAACAAAGTAACAAAACCAGGCAAAGGTCACGGCAAGGTCATTTCCAAAATTATGTTACCTTGATGTCTGCTTCCAACTCTAGATTAATTCAAGGATCTACCAGTCCTTGGTTAATGTATCCAGCCAGTTGTGTGCGGCACACATTCGAGAAAGTGGAAAAAAAAAAATTAAAAAATGATTGAAAACGTTGTAGAAAATCTGCATGAGCTACACCGACACAAAAATCTGATCAAAGGGCAAAAGTAACTCTCCATCCATGCATGGTGCATGATGATTTCTATGAGCTGGGATCCTGTAAATTAATGTTATGCAAAATCAAAACAGCTCTGTATCGTTAAATGCCCTTCAGTTACTAACTGTGTCAAACGTTCTAGGGATTGCATCTGTGTACGTATATGTTCAGCTGTATATGTATACATAAATTGATTATGTATATTGTAGCTTTTCTTTTTTGTTGTTTTCCTCCTTAATTTAGTTGTTTTAGATTTCCCTACATGTTGAACATCCCTGGGTCCCTGCCTCTGGCCTGATGCGATCTCTCCTTTCTGTTGCAGAACCGCATGCACGAATCTCTGAAGCTTTTTGACAGCATCTGCAACAACAAATGGTTCACAGATACATCTATCATCCTCTTTTTAAACAAGAAGGACATATTTGAGGAGAAAATTAAGAAATCTCCACTGGCTATCTGCTTTCCTGAGTATACAGGTAATGAGACAGGTGGCTGCAGAGGAGGGCACATCCAAGGGAGCACAGGGCACTTCCCAGCAGGGCTGATGCTGTCATGCTTTGCAGGCAACGAGGCTAAAGGTGCAGAGCCAGAGCTCCCATGGGCTTCACTGCAGGTTTCATTTCAGGAAGTGCCATAGGATCATCCTCACCATCTTTACTGGTCCACTTAGAGCAGGAGGATGACTTAAACCAAGTTCTTTGCTGGCAAAGGGCCACCACCACTGGGCAGTGTTTGATCTCTGCCTCACGGGTGGTTTGGTGCCGAGCCAGCACGTGCAGCTGTGGGGCTGCAGTGCACTCCCAAACCCCAGTGGCCTGGTTCTCTGTGTCACACAGGAGCATGAACCTTCCTGCAGATCTCTCAGAAAGGTGCAGTGAGCTTAACCATTCAAACGGGTCTCTGGGAGACCAACACACAGGGTTTGTCAGGCTGTCCTCAGCTGGAGTCCAGCTTTGCTCTTTCAAAACCCACCACGTTCCCTTGTAGGTCCTGGCTGGCCACAACAAGAATCCCTCAGCAGTTCCTGGCCACCACTCCCCCACTGCCAGGCACCCCGGGGCTGCAGAGTCATCATCACCCTGGCAACATTTATGGCCAGGCCCGATGGGTCTCTGAGCAGCCTGATCTGGCTGAAGATGTCCCTGCTCACTGCAGGGCAGTTGGACCAGGTGACCTTTAAAGGTCCCTTCTAACCCAACCCATTGTACATTCCATGATCAGCCCCACAGTGTGCAGGCAGCAGCTCTCACAGCTCGGCTGCTTCAGCTCAGGGTACACATTTTCATCAGGTTAGTTGAGGAGGTCCCCACTCTTACTCTCAGGTTCACTGAAATCAAGCACAGACGTAGCAGCACTTCCAGTTAAATGCAGGTAGAAAGCAAGGTGTTTGATTTTCTACTCTGCTGGCCACCCACACCCCTTCACCCACAGTGCAGGCAGAGGCCACAGTGAGCTTGGCAGGGAGAAGGAGGCCTCAGTGATTGAGGAGTGAGAGCAGGGGCTGTGCAGCAGGCAGGGAGCCCCCACCTCAGCCTGGCAGCTGATCCGCTAGTGCCGGGCATGCAGCACCCCTGCAAAGGCTGCAGCTGCACCCCACTGCTCCCTCTGCATCTCCCCAGCTTCCACAGTCCCTCATTACCATCCCGAGACAGCACAAAAATAAACTTTTACCATCATGAATTATTTAAGCTCACCAGAGACACCCAGATGAATCGAGCCGACAGACAGGGGAGCAGATCTCTTTGTCAGGAAACGTGGTTGTGAACCAGGAGCACCAAGGGTGTCACATTTCTGGGCAGGCCAACAAATTATTAACCAGAGCTTCTTATCTCTGAACACTTGATTTTTCACTGTGAACAGACAAAGGCTATCCCTCATTGCTGCTTTGAGACCACGGAGCAGAACAACTCCAGCTGAATTCAGAAGAACATCTGCAGGCTTCCTCTCTGGGGAAGGGTTGGGTGTTTGTCACTACCAGCACATTTCAGCCATCTACTCATCTGCTCGGTCCAGACAGAACCAACATATTCCCGACACGTTTGTCTGGAAAGATCTAATCATGGAAATTTCAGTCTTTACAGTTGAAAGCTCATAATAATGCCTACCCGAAATTTTCCCGGTTGCAAATTAGATTGCTGCTTTTGGATGGCTTGTAGAGCAGCTCATCACTGTCTTCTTTATAGCAGCACTTCTATGTCCTGGATGGTTTCCATCATGCCCTCTTCCTTTTCCCTTTTCTCAGTGAAGCAAATCTGCACTTCTCACTCCTTCCTGGTCATATTTTGTGCACCTGGTTTTGTGGCTCTTCACTGAAGTCTCCCAGAAACCCCACTCCAAAATAATATTCTTACAGACCCCTGATGGCAGGGGGACTAGAAGTAGAAGGAGCTATTCCTTCCCAAGCAATCCCAGCCCAAGAGAGGAGTTCAGTGGGGGAGGCAGACCCTCAGACACACGTGAAAACAAGTACAGCTTCTTTCTGGAGCACTTCAGCCCCAAGTGAACCAAACCAGTCTTCCCCAAGTTTCAGAGGACCCCAGAGATGCTCTGAACTCCTTCAGGGTGCTGTTCTGGAAGCTGGGAGTTCTCATAATGCCAGGGACCCTCCACAGACCTCCTGTCTCTCTTGTGCCATCAGAGAGGGCTGAAAGTGTGATGGCTGAAAGTCCTTTTACTGATCCAACAGTCATCTGAGTCAGAGGTGAGGAATATCCCCCCCTCCAGGCACTCAGCAGTGCCAGTACAAGTTAGCTCATGCTAAATCCAGCCTGGACTCCAGACCCAAGCACACACTTCAGCCCCTGCTTTGCTGACCACAGCTCAGAGGATGAAGCCCTCGTGGTCGTGTGGGAAAGCAGCATTATTAGAATGTTGCCCTGGAGTTAAAAAGAATTATTTGATGAAAGCCTATAAATTGAACAAGCGGACTTTCAACATCACAAGTAGGTTCCACAAAATGCTTTTAATGAAATGAAGTTTGTGATGTCCATTAGTTCTGCTGACAGGGAATTACTGGAAGACTGCATCCACAAATTTGCCGGCTGCTTGCTGGAGCACTGACTGTTTCCATCCCCTTAATTCACCCATGCTTTTAACTAATCCACAATACTTAGCAAAGCAGCAGCAGAATCCCTGGTGTGCTTTAAACCAAGCTGGCATTAGTGATTCCTTGCTCTCCTGGACAGAATACAGCATCTAAATCCTCGTGCCTTTGAACAGCCAAGTTCCCGTTCATAAAATACCCTCCTCTTTGTGCCCAGCCTGTGGAACTGTTCACAGATTCTTTACACATCTGCTCATGCAAGAACCTGCTCCCAGAAAACAGTTTGCTTCTCTTACTTCAAGCATATCCTCAAGTCCCGTGGTCTTCCTGTGCTTGTGTCTTCAAGTGGCAATATGTGTGTGTGCAAGTGTGATTTCCCAGGTCACCACAGCACGCCTCAAGCCCCAGTGAGCTGCTCTCTAGCAGATAACAGCATTTCCCATCAGCAAAGCATCGTGGAGGGAGAGGGACCCAAAAGCAGGAGCAGTGTTACTGCTGAGGAGCCTTTTGGGGGTCAGGCAGTGCCCGGCAGTGCCGCGGGGCTGCACTCCAGGCCAGCCAGAGAAAACACCTTCATCAGCCCTGAGCAGCTCCAAGGGGAGCTCTGTGTGTGAGCAGGACCAGGGCTGGCCAGGGCAGAAAGGATCTGCTCATTTGCATGGCTCCTCCTAGGCATTTTTAACGGAAAACTCGATGTTTAATAAGGTGTGGCACAGACATCTCTAACTACATCTCTCAAACCAAGAAACCCCTCGTGGTGTGATTTTAGCCATGGTTCTAGAGGAGAGTACTGTGATCCTAATTCCTCAAAAAGAGGGACATTTTGTATTAGGCTTTTTGTTGCTTTTTTTTTGAGAAAACCCCACTTTGTTCTGCAACAGAGGCTGGATCTTTTCATGTCCTTTTCTCTTAGTCATTCAGGGAAAGGAGAGCACAGCTACCAATACTGCCCTCAACTCATGGAACATGTTAGCTCTTCTTTTCCATCCAAAACTGAAACTTTAATCAAAAAAAAAATCTAAAAAAGGAAAAAAGCTGAGCCTTTTCCCCAGGTCAAGCACTTACAGCATTCCTGGCAGATTTCTTCTCTTTTTTGTCACCACGATGTGGAATTTGTTCTGGTTTTCCCAACATAGCCTGTTTAACACTCAGCTCTTCAGTCTATAAACAGCAACTCAGAATAAAAATACAGCTGAGTTGACAGTCAGAGAGCATCTCCTGGCTGGCAGCAATCCTGGCTGGGGACAGTGCCCATCCCTGAGGTGGAGATGGGGCTGTGCTCAGTGGCCCTGCACAGCCTCCCGTGCCCCTGTGAGAGGGTGTCTGCAGGCACCCTGCAGGTTCAGGCTGACAGGACAGCTCTAACCCATCCTTCTCCTCCCCTCCCGGCTCTCCTGCAGGCCCCAACGCGTTCACGGAGGCCGTGGCCTACATCCAGACCCAGTATGAGAGCAAGAACAAGTCCCCCAACAAGGAGATCTACACCCACATCACCTGCGCCACCGACACCAACAACATCCAGTTCGTCTTCGACGCCGTCACGGATGTCATCATCGCCAACAACCTGCGGGGCTGTGGACTCTACTAACGCCTCTGCTCCCCGCCTGCCCGGCCCTGCCGGGAGCACCCTCCGGTCCCGCGGACAGGTCCTCTCTTTCCTTGTTTTTTCCTCCTCAGAACACGACGAGGAAGAAATCCGTAAATCCCCCCCCTCCCATCCCAGAAAACTCTGCAGCAAGTTCTGCTTCCCCCAGCCCTGTTTCACTTCCTTTGGTTCATTTTTGGTTCGTTCCCTCGCTGCCTCGTCCCCTCCTCCGTTCCAGGTCACAGCGCTGCGCAGGGAGCTAACGCGCTTCCCACAAAGTGCCCTTCAACTGCCAAAAGACAAAAATACTTCACTTTTAAAAAGAGGGGGAAAAAAAATCAAAGCCTTAAAATACTGGTCAGGAACAGTGTAGTTTGGAACCAAAACTTTTTTTTTTCTTTTTTTTTTTTTTGCCTTGAAATTAAGGGATATTGTTTATTCTCCTGGTTGTCTTTTTTGTTAAAGCGCTATTCCTTTGGGAAGTGCTGGATACAACCTGATCGTTTTGAGGGTACCTTATGGCTCCAGTTCTGACCCCAAAGCCAGAGGGGTCAGTGTTGAATGCAGCTGCCATAGCTTGGATTTGTATAGCCTCCTTTTTTCCAGACAGCTATCTGAACAACTAAAACAGCCATATGGAGTTCTGCTGGTGTCTGAGTAACAGGGACACAGTAACAAAACCTACTAAGCCTTGTCTAAAAGCATTCATTACTGGTAGCAGTTTTACCTCAAGTTCTTCAGGATTAATATTAAAACATATCTAGAGGTTGCAGTAACCCATTTCTGAGGCACTTTGCTGGAGGCCACAGAGCCACTGGGCTGGGACCCCTGGGGGCTGGCAGTGAGGATCCCACCCTGGGGGCATCCGAGGAAGCTGGCCTGGGTGCCTGGTGGCCTTTCCCAAAGCACCTCCCAGCCTAAGTGATTGATTTCAGCACAAGCAGCGCTCCTGCAAACAGCATCTCCTTCCAAACTTCAGCCCTGACATGCTGGAGTGCACCAAAAATCTTTAGTCTTGGTTTCTTGCAGGCAGAGTTTGACCTTCGAGTACCCGAGATGTGAGGAGGTGCTTTGGGAAACCTCCCCGTGGCTCTTCATCAGCCCTCAGGCATCTGAACACCCTTGAGAAGCCCAGCCTTGTGCTCTGGGCCTCCTGGGCTCCAGGCAGGCATCTCTTCCCCAGTGTCTGAAGAGAGAAGGATGTTCCATACTGGCCAGGTAGTGGCAATGAGGGCACAGGGAGCTGATTTGAGCCAAGTGATGCAGTAGAAAGGAAAAGTGCAAGGAAAGGAGGAAGGAAGGGCAGGGGGAGAGGTGTGGAAAGGACAAGGGTAGTGCCCAGCACAGCAAAAGCAGGGGCTGAGAGGGGAGGAGAAATGCAGGTGGGCTGAGTTACACGTGGCCACCCCCTTGCCATCACCAAGAGTCCTGGGTGTCCTTAGGTCGAAGGTGGAGGGGAAGGTGAGAGGTGGGTGTCACCTCTGGGGTCCCACCCAGGGCCCACCTCACCTGGGGGCAGGTAGGCAGTGCTGATCCCTGCCTCTTCTCTGCCTCCCTTAAAATTCCATCATCTTGGACAACATGAGTTCTTTCCAGGCCGGCCACAAGTTCAGCTGTCCTCTCTTGGCAGCCTGATCTAGGGGTGGCTTTCAGGTCTCAGGAGCTCTGAGTTCTCTCCAGGGCCACTCCTGAGAGGGACAGTCCCTCTTCTCTTGCTGTGCCCGTTCAGGAGAGACGGTGTGAGCAGCCCAGAGCAGCACAGCCCAAAGAGCAGGGCCAGGTGAGCACCAGTGTGCAGGAGGCAGGGACAGGAGCAGGTGTGGTGGCACAGGAGGGAGAGGAGCAGTGGGAGAGGTTTAGGGAACGGTTTGGGAGAGAAGGTGCAGAAGGGAGAGGAGACAGACAGAGAGAGGCAGCAGGGGGGCGGGAGCAGAGTCCCCACCAGTCTGTGCTCTGCCAGGACAGTGCTCCTGGACACCCATGACAAACCCCAGCCAGGAGCGTGAGCAGGAGCACCCCAGAGCAAGCAGGGGAGGAAAGCAGGGTGGTGTCACCCATCCAACCAGCTCACAGCCCAGCATGGCTGGGAACTGTCAGTAACCCCCTAAACACCATTACACGATGCAACTGCATCTACTATTGTGCCCCAGGACCCACTGCTGCTCTGCTGGGCACTAACAGCAATAACCCCAGGGCTCTGCCTCCCCTGCTCTGGCACAAGTGCCACCTTTCTCTTCACCATCCCAGAATGCCTCTGGTGACACCAGCCAGCCAAGCCAGGAGCCTTCTCTGCTCCTCAGGCCCACCCACACTCTTTGTTTCCCCAGCTCCCAGCCCCATTTGCTGCCAGCACGCTCTGCTGTAAAGCTGTGAACCAAAGGAAAGGTCTGCACGTGTCTCTTTGGTTTAGCTTAGGATTGCAGGAGTTGGTGGAAAGGTTTTTCAAAGAAAGGATTCCCAGTGGGAAGCACCTGCCCAGTTCCTGGTTCCTTGGAAGGGACCAGACGATGGCAGGGGGGTGGTGCTTGTGTTGCAGGAGGGGCAGGGAATTAGCTGGAGGGATGTGGAGGGACTGGGATGGTGCTGGAGCTTGTCCCATGTGGGGGCTGTGCCCCACCAGTAGCCCCCAGCATTCACATGTGCATTAAGTGTCAAAGCAAGGGCTGAAAAGCCTCCTGTTAGTTATGTTTGGTACATAAAGTGTGTGTAACCACTGGACCCAGTGCAGGGCCAGCCCTCTGAGTGCTGATGGCTGGCACTGGCAGGGAGACAGGTCTGTCAGAAGAGTTTGATCAGCAGTGCTAGTTATGGAGATTTTCTGTTCCCACCCCTTGCTGTGGATGACATTTTATCCAAGTAAATAAATGACAGAAGTTGTTCCCAGGGAAGGCAGCACCACGCCAAGGCTTTGTGAGCTCCCAGCTTAAAGCACACAGGAATATTTTGGTAAAGACAATGGAAATTAGCTCAGCTCCAGACTCTGCCAAATGCAGCCAAGTGGCCGGTTCTGGCTCACCGTGCTCTGGCTGCTCTCCAGGCTGGATTCAGGTGACCCATGCTGGGAGAGGACCTGGCTGGGAGGTCCAAACCCCCCCTGCAGCTTCAGCGGGCTCCCAGCACGTTGGTGACAACCAACAGCTGGTGCTCCATGAGGAGAAATGAGAGAAAAAGCAGAGGAAATGTTGCCACACAGAGCCTCTTCTTTCATTTTCTTTGTCATGTGGTGTGTCCAAAGCCTCATCTCAGCTGCTGCTGCTGACGTTCTGCCCCTCACACGAGCGTCAGGAGGATTCACTGACAAATGCTGGAAACAGCATTTGGAAGATGAAATGCTTCCAGTGTTAAACACTACTGTTTCTCCCACTTGATGGCTGTGTATAGATTTTTGTCTGCAGAACGCCTGCCAAATCATTACTCACTGCTGGCTCCTGCATCCTCCGGAGCCTCTCGTGGCAGATGTGCCTTCCGCAGGCGATCTCTCGCCCCGTGCTTTTCCTGAACACCAGCACTTCTTGCAGCACTTGCCTAGAAAGACCTTGAAATGCATTGCCTGCCTTCAAAAGCCTCTTCTTAACAGCCCCCTGTGCTGTGCAACTGCCATGCTCCAAATCCAGACCCTTGGAGACCCCGAGCTGTGTTTGATTTGCAGCCTCCACGTAGCAGGGATGCTGCAACCGGTACAGCTGCATCAGAAACTGTACCAGGGCATGGGGGATAGATTTTAAAAGCACACAGTTGAAACAGCTAGGTAGACACCCTCCTGCCCTTCAAAACTAACGTGGGAGTTTGCAAAAAGAAGCTCTTCTGGGGATGCAGGAGGTTTTTCATGGCTCAGGTCACTTGTCCAGCAGCAGCATCGGAGGGGTGTCAGCACTGAAAGCAGCATTAGCAACTTATGGTGAGCTTCAGACAGTAGCCAAAGGAAAGAAGGAAGCCCCTCTCCAGCTTGGTTCATAGCCAATGAGGGTGTGGAGCCGTGAGAGCACAAAAATGCAAATAGCCCCTTTACTTAAACAACAATGTCAATGAAATAGAGAAACCCGTAGGAGGAAGCCTTGCAGGGCCGAGCTGCAGAGCGCTGTGCTCCTCGGAGGACGCAGCAGCTGGGCTGGTTAGAACTAGCAATAACCTGGCACTGGGAAAGCACACGCTGAACACAGCCCGGGGTGCCCAGGGCAGTGTTAATGCAGCACCAGAGCCCTCACCCCTGGCTGTGACCCGGCCCCGAGCGCTCCGAGGGCCATCGGGCTCCACCTGCCATCGCCCAGCATCCCTGCAGCCCCGGCCCTCCCAACAAACACCTCCCACTCCATCCCTCTCGGGAGCTTCCTATCGGAATTAGCTGCTTGCCTTCCGCCAGCTTTCCTGGCTGGCCAGCCAGCCTGTCCTCCACGGGACAAAGCACCCTCAGGAGGAGCCTCCTTCATAGATGGGATTTTGTTTTACAGGACACTAAAAGTATTAATGAGGGCAGTCCATTAAGGTGTGTCTGGAGGGTTTAATCCATCATGGCATGAGCCCTGTGCTGGCCTGCAAGGGAACAGACCTTGTTCTCAGGCCAGGAGAGCAAAACCTCCAGGAGGTCAGGGTGGGACACAGCAGATGTCCTTGTGCCAGAAGGTCCCCACGTGCCCAGCTGCTGCTGTGCAAAGCATCAGGCAGCCCCTCACTGCTGGGCTCAGCAAGGCAGACATCACCCAGGAGGGATTGTGCAGGCAAGGCTGGGAGAGGGACCAACCTGCACTGTTAGGCTGTGGCCAGAATGTCTCCTGGAGCCAGGGAGAGTTGCTGGGTTCCTGGGAGCAAGGCTGACTGTCTGTCAAGTCAGTTAGAGAAGCTTAGTGCTAATGTGCTCGAGTGTTTGTCGTGGGCCAGGTTTGTCTTAAGCCTTGCCACCAAAAACTCCACAACTGTTTCCATTTGGGAGACCAAAACACTCATTTAGTGATCTGACACTGGGAGCATCGAGGTCAGCAGAGATGGTGCTACTGAGCATCACCCTAAAGCCCCCAGAGCCGTCACCCACCTGCATCCCCCAGGCACACACAAGAAAGCAGAGACATGGCACAAAATCACAGACCGTGGTCTTGCCTCCTCCTCCCCAGGGCAGGCAAATCCACTCCTGAGGCTCCCCAGGCCTCGAGGGTTCTGTGTCATTTCTGAGCTCCAGCACTGACACAAGGTAATTGATGCTGACAGATAGAGGTACATGACCTGTATAAAGAACTATGCTGAGAACGTGGCTATGGAAAGGGACCTTTCACAGGACCACTCGTGCCCCAGCCAGAGCCTGTGAGATCTTTGCTTGTGTGCAGAGACCAGGAAGTGAACACAAGTGCAACCCTTAAACACCAACGCCTTACTGAGAGGAGGAGCAGGAGCAAAGCTGGCACCCTGCAGGCAGAGGGAGCTGGACTGAAGAAACCTCTCCATCTCCCAGAGAGGGCAGCTCTGTTCTGCAAGGACACCAGGTGCAGTAGACACAGGGAGGAGAGACCTGGAGAAGAGGCAGAGGGCTGGGAGTTGACCGGACACCCCAGGCCCTCTCCTAGCCACTGCCATGGAAATTAATGTTGAGAGCAAATCCTGACTGCCCTGTAGTGCAGGCAAGCAGCTCCAGAGCTAAACCCCCTGCTCCAGGTGGGGAGAGGAGATTCACAGCAGGTAAAACACCCTTTTCAGCAGTGCCTGAGTCTCACCAGCTTTTCCAGTGCTGGAGCAACCCAGTGGCACCGGGCAAGCAACTAGGGTTGTTAAACACCAGCCACTGCCCCGTGAAAGTGCCCAGTCCCTCATTTGCAATCCTCAGCCCCATTCCCCCACCTCCCTTTTCCCCCTTCAGCTCAACAAGGGAACAGTGACCATCACTCTGCCTCTGGGCTCCCCTCCGTGCCCGAAGGATCTCTGGAGGCCACCACGCTTTTCCTTTTGCTGATCTCCCACTGAATCATTTTCCTGCATGTTTGATGGCCCAAACTGTATTAACTGTAATTTTGTATGAAGAGTGACTGTCCATTGGTTTAATAGAGCATTAGTTACTGTAATAATTTATTGGCTGTCGGTAATGTATTTATTAGTTACAAAATGTTAATAAAGTGCCAGCTCTTTTCTAGTGTGAGAGTGGTTTTATTGTGTCTCCCTTGAGCGTGTCCAGCTTCTCAAACTCATTTTTTAACCCTTTGGCTGCTCCACAAATGCACAACACACACCTGCAGTGTCAGTTGTCTGCCACAGCCTCCTCTGCCTGGAAACAAGGAACTTGCAGGGATTTAACCAAAAGGTATCTCATTTTATGTAAGTATTTGGTGGGAATTTCTTTTCCCTCTGCTCAGCCCAGGCACCAGGGGGGCAGATCATCCCTCCTTCCCCATTGCATCCTCCAACACCTCGACTGCAAAACCTTCACAAGCTTTGCTTTGCTTTTCCACTGTTTCTTTGTGCAAGCACAGAGGCAGAAGAGCTATTTCTGGTTTGACTGAGATGTGTTTTGCTCCTTGCAGTAGCACCAAATGTGGAGCATCTCTCCCTCCCTCCCTCCCTCCCTTTAAAATAACCCTTGGGCCAGTTTGTTCTTTTATGTTAAAACCAAAGATCTTCCATTATTTGGGGCATGAAACACAAGTAAAGAACTTGAAGAAACCAAGAGAAAATTTTCCATAAACCTCAGCAAAGTGAACCTTTATTTCTGTTGACTTGACCACATTCCAGTGATGTATCTGGACCCATCCTCAGACAAAAACCCCCCCACAGCCCATCCTGCAGATGAGACAGAAGAACAGACCAGCCCTGAGAAAAGGAAACAGCTGAGAGGGAAAGGGTTTTGCTTTGCATATCGTTACTGGGCATTTTTTAGAACATCCTCCAGGACTCCATCCCGCTCAGATCATCTGCGTGGCTGTCCAGGGCTCTGAAGTCACCAGGGTTATTTCCTCTGACTGGGGATTTTCCTTGCCTTGGGCACCGGCTTTATTTCAGCTGCTCTTCCACCATCGTCATCGCTCCTTTATTTAGATATGTAGGGGACAACACCAGGGACAAACAAGGAGAAGCCTCCCCAGATACTCTCCATGAAAATCTTGAGTGATTTTGCAACAACCCCAAGCCAAGAGGAACCACATCCTTCTGCAGCAGTTTCTGGTTTCCCTGTGAACAAGGCTTTTTTTTTTACATTTCAAGATAAGGATCAGTTTGAAGTCCCAAAGCTTTGGAAAGCGCCTGCTTGGCATCCCTTGCCACTCTTTGTCAAGGAACCGACAGTGCAATCGCGGAGCCTTTCAAGATGAAATCAGACAGCTGCTAAATTTTGCACGCAAAAGCTGCCGCTGAAGTGGAGCTAATAAAATGAGTCACTAATAAAACATTCATGGAAAACTCCAAAATGTGTAATTGGGTCATCATTTCGTTGGGAAACGCGCGCGTTCTCGCGAAGCTTCGGCGAGCCCAGGTCCCCCTTGCTGCGCCTCCCAAAAATGGGGCTGGGGGTTCCCCACTGGCTGCCAAGCCCCTGAGCCACCCCAGAGCGGGGCTTCACACGAGGTTACAAGAGGCTTTCGTAAGCAGCTCAGCCAGAACGGGGGGGCTCAGCCCTAGGAGGGGCTTTCTGGTGATAATGGTGGAGGAAATTTTGGGGAGCTCCTGGAGAGCCAGATCCGTCCTGTCCAGTTGCACCTTCACACTAACAGTGAGTGCATGTGCCTGCATGAGAATCCCCTGTCCTGTGGCAGCTGGTTCTGCCCAGGACAGCCTCTCCTCCTCCTCCTGTTCTGCTGTCTGCTCTCCACCCCTTCCTGGTAAGAACTTCTGTAGCACAGGGAAAAATGGCTTGGTATGGCTTTTGTCCACATGTGAAAGGACAATTTAAAATTAATTAATTAAAAACCCCTACTTTTAGAAATTTGCCTCTAGTTATGCTCCTACCAAAAATTTTCCAAGCTCAAAGACTCCCTGGATCTGCCCACAAGCCCAGCACACTCAGGAGAGCTCGGAGGGCTGGCAGAGGCACCTCCACTGGTTACTTCCATGTAGCAGCACTGGGTTTTCCTGGGGGTAACCTGGCCACCACTGTGGTGTTTTCTAAGATGGGCTGAAAACTTTTCCAGGGGCAGAAAGGTCTCAGTGGGACAGGACCTACCCCAACCTCTGGGCAATCCCTTGGCATTGGTCTTGCCACGATGGCACTGCTCAGCACCAAATACCCCTCCAGGCCAGGCCATAGGACCACCCTGGGATGGCCAAAGCCCCCTCCATCCCAGTCCCAATGCCCAATGTATCCTGGCCACTGGCTGCTGCTCTGCCCATGCTTCATTTGAGCTCTGCAAAGGATGCTTCAGGGTTGCCCACTCTGAGGAGACACAGGGCCCCTTCCCCACTCCTCTGGTGAGGCAGGAGAGGAGCAGATGATTTTTTTCCCTGCTCTTCCTTGAGGCTTCAGGTGTCTGCCCTGGCACAGTGGCCTCACAGGGACATGGGGGAGGATCAGCTGCAGCCTCCACATGTGCCTTGGCCTTCAGCCCAAGAGCAGGGCAATATCCCACCTCCTCCACCTTTGTAACCAGCTCACATTTACCGCTGTCTTATTTTAGAGATTTTTTGCTTTCTAACCATTTCAACTCAGAAAAAACAAAAAATGTTCTCCTCTCCTCTAACTCTGTCTTTGCCTTTCTCTCTCCCCTCTCCTCCCTCCTTGCTCCCTGTTGCAGAACCGCATGCACGAATCTCTCATGCTCTTCGACTCCATCTGTAACAACAAATTCTTCATCGATACCTCCATCATTCTCTTCCTCAACAAGAAAGACCTATTTGCTGAGAAGATCAAGAAGTCTCCTCTGACCATCTGCTTCCCTGAATACACAGGTAGGTGCTGGGGCCCACAGGGCACAGCCCAGTGACACCCCCACCCTGCGCCCGCTGGATGGGGGGCCCAGGGGGGACAGAAGGGCACCTTTGGGGGGGTAGAAGCACTGCCCACCTTCAGGAGCAGGGATGCAGCTGCAGCACCCACTGGTGGGTAGGGCTGTGTCCCGCCTGGGTCAGCTCTTGTGGCAGAGATGGGACAGAGAGAGAGAGGAGCTGTGGGAAGGAGAAGCCTTGGTGGGAGCCGAGTGCCCACTGCTCCAGCCATCCTGCTTGCTGGTGGATCCTGAGAAGCTCCTGCAAGAGGAACCAAGACATGTGGTCCTCCTCCAAGCTGCATCCTCCCGGAGTGCCTTCTCACAGGAAACAGCTGGGCAAGGAATGAGCCCCTTTACAGCAGAAACCTGTGGAACCACAAGAGAATCATCCATTTCCTAGTGAAACCAGCATGGTTTGAGGAAGAGAACAAATAACCAAGAAGATGGGTAAGAACAGAGGCTTTGAGATTTCTAAGAGGAAAAAAAAGTCAGTTCAGATCAGACTCCAGCTACCCTTACTGAGATACCTCTGAACTGTTCCTCCCAGAGCACACCCACCCTGGATGCCAAACCCTGAGGACAAGGGGGCCCCCAGCAAGATGCCATCCCTTCCCCTGTGGCATAAGTGCACTGGCATTCCCACCAGAGGCATTTAGGCTTCTGCATCATAAAGGCAGCAGTACTTCCTTCACAGCCACCTGGCTGAATAAACCAAACTATGCCACTGCAGCTGCACGGCACATCCTGGCACATGGAGGGGGACAGCCCGGCGTCACCGACCCACCCCCCTGTCCTTCGGCCACTCACCGCATCAGGAACAGGGGAACCAGCGAGCTGGAAAAGGAAAATAAATCTCCAGATAATAGCAGCTCTCGCAAAGGCGATTTCAGGGGCGTAACTCAGCTTTGTGGCTTCCCCCGAGGGGCCAGGCGCAGCCTCTCCCGCTGCCCTAAGCGGCTTAATGCAAAAATGCACATTTTTCGGCTCAAACATCTGGCGCCTCTCCAGCCTACCTTACAAAAGCAAACCTTGCAGTTACTAAGCCAACAGCAGCGCGTCCCCGAACGGCTCCTGCCCCGCCACCATCCACTCCGGAGCGCAGGGTGAGACCCTCAGCCTGCCCAGCATCCGAGACGGGGCGCGGGGGGCTCAGCTCCCCCGAGGAAGATGTGGTAGCCACCGACCCTCCTGGCCATCCCTCCCCCTGCCTACCTGGCTGGGGGGCCACCAGGCCCCCCAGCCTTTCTCCCCCCCCCAATGGGGTGCGCCATGGGGACTCACCAGCAGCGATGCCGCGGAGCTCCCTCGGGATTTCCTCCGGCTCTGCCCGGCGGGCGCAGTTGGAGGGGGCTCCTCCTGCGGGGCTCAAAAAGGGGGAGGCAAAGTGGCAACACCTGGGGAGGGAGGAGACCCCAACAGGGCCCGCGTGGGCCGCAATTAGGGGAAAATGGGGCAGAATGGGGTGGGAAAGGGCAGGGGAGGGAAGTGGAAGGGGTTAAACGGATCCTGCTGAGGGCTGGGTGGGGGACACACGGGGTGCAAATAACTGAGTTTGGCCGTTTCTGCTGGAATTAACGCACTTTGCGAGCCCCGAGGGGCCGGGTGTGCGGGGGGAGGGCGGTGCCCTCGGCCCTGACCCCCCCGCTCTGCCCCCACCTGTGCCCGCAGGTCCCAACACCTACGAGGACGCGGCCGCCTACATCCAAGCACAGTTCGAGAGCAAAAACCGCTCCCCCAACAAGGAGATTTACTGCCACATGACGTGCGCCACAGACACGAACAACATCCAGGTGGTATTTGACGCCGTCACCGACATCATCATTGCCAACAACCTGCGGGGCTGCGGCTTGTACTGACCCCCCCCGGCGCACAGCGACTGCTTGGGTGGCGATCCCGGCGCCAGGAGAGAAAAGAAACGTAAAAATAAAAAAATAACAAAAAAAAAAAAAACCCAACCAACGCAACCACACACAGACACACACACACGCACGGGAAAAAAAAAAAAAAAAAAAAAAAAAAAAAAAAAAACAGAGTGAAGGAGAGAAAAAAAAATTGTCATCATAATCATGCAAGTTGGTAAATAAAAAGGCATAAGGAAAAATTATATATATACGTATATATATATATAAAAATATCCACACCCACCTTTTTAGTTCGTTTTTTTTAAATCCCTTCCCACCCCACCCCGTCAGGCTCCGGCCCCCAAAATCCCAGCCCGGGG